TGGACCCCTTCAGCTGCTGCCCCTGTGCCTCGTCGAGGCGATTGGTAATGAAACCACTTTCCCTGGAAGTCAAGAGGTCGGGAAACGGACACGATGTCTGCAAGATTCGAGCATGGATCATATCGCGTCGTTGGCGCCCTCTTCTTCCCATCCTGGGATTAGAGTATCCGAATCGTGTCGATTTCTCGGAATTATCGACGAGGAAATACGACGACCGTGGCGGGCGCGGCGTGTGACGCCCGGTTGCCGAGGGCTTAAGATGTGCTTCCCGTGAAGTGAATGCACTCTCTGGAGTCGCACCGCGTGTAGGGAACGAAGAAGAACTCTGCCCGCTGGCGCCAGCGAGGATGGGTGTTTTTCGTGTCAAAGACACAGGGCTCATTGAGCAGAGAATGCGTGAAGATGGTCCTAGAGACGTAATGGTGTTTCAGACACGCGAGGCTCGTACGAGGCAATAGTTTTTCTCAATGTGAATTGTGGTTATTCACGACTTCGATGGGGGGAAAGTGTAACGGGGTTAAACGTACCCTGGTATGAAAGGGTGGGTCAGACAAGATGGTGTGACCGTACAATTGTGTGGATTACACAAGTCGGTGTAATCACACAATGGTGTGGCTACACCGTAACAAGAAGCCACTTCCAATAGTTTGGCATATTAATTAGATTTTACAAGTTAATTAGGAACACCTAAGGCGTTAGATAAAGGCGGCTCTGTTGCAAATGACACACATAAAACAGCTTCAGTTTAGAACGGAAGAGTACATTTGCCTTGTGTTAAGGTGTTGGGTACTCTTGGAATAAGCGGATTGCGATCCGCTACACTCGTACTAGTTTTGGTATAGAACGTAAGGTCGGTGACTCTAGTCAGCTTTCTCTAAGCGAATAGCTACAGCAGCCCCGCTTCACAGACAAAGAGCAAAAAAAACGGATTTCTCCGGAGATCTATGGGTTTGTCAACCTGAAATGGTGACGTCGGAGAATAAGCGCAATGGCTATTTGGATTTACAACACCTCATAAGCTAGTGAGTGACATTGATCTCATGTTGGAAAAAGCAAACCATCACAGTAAGCAAAATTGGTAGTGCTCCTAGTAACACAGCATTGCGATTGACGGAATTGGAGCGGCAACAGCTCCGGGGGATATACCTTACCTATCAAAGCTGCAATTAAGTGACCGCAATGCCGCAAAAGTATCAACTAAAGGTGCTTATTGATTTTGTTTTGCCAAGCCAAAAACCCGGCCAAGATATGGACCACAAATGGGCTTATGCTAATTCTGCTTTTTGAAGATATTGCAAAAGAGTCGAGCTCTTAAAAAGCACCCACTGCGATTAAATGCTGTTCTTATCGCTTGCACCTGACGAAGCATTTTATTACAAGCCTTACACACATTCAGAATTGCTCTTTGGAGCGTGCCACCATGGCTGGACAACGCTTTAAGAAAGATGTGGCATTTGTGGTCGACGACCTAACATCTATTTTTGGTGAAGAGCCGAGGATTTTCTGATAAGAATTATCGCAGTAGTTTATGAGTCTAGACCCGAAGCCGTAGCACTCATCGAGATATATACTGCACAGCTGTGCACTGAGAAAAGTCATCATACTTTTGCTCCGCGAATAACTAATTTTTATTCCGCTCCTAAGTCGAAACGTGACACGACACACCACCGCGGGTATTACAACAAATTTTAGCTTGAAAGCAATGAGCTGGACCTGGCTCACGAGCCGAACAGTCTCGTTTGTGAATGCAAGAGATGCAGCGACTTTGATAGACTCGATCACGGCACGATTCTGATTTAATAACCAGAAGCTGCTTCTTACAGTGAAACTGGCACTTATACGCGGGTCTTTTCTTCAATCAAAGAGCTAGAGCTGCACTTGACAAGTGCTTCCGGGTCCCGCAGAATACCACCCCCCAAAATCTTCGGATGCACTGGGTGCAGCAGGGGTCGTGCAAATTCGTGTCCACCACATGGGTCAATCAAACGAAGCCGGAAGTATCAAGTTCATCCCACAGACTGGGCTGAAGACGACATGTCGCTTACAGCTTACAAGCCACCTTCGGTAAAGCAGACGTCTAACCGGAACCGTCACGACCTTCACGAAGGTGGATGCAAGCTATCTCAAGTGACTGCTGCCAACAGCAGGATTCTGCTGTTAATTCTGCCAGCCAAGTCGAATTTGGAAAGAATCAGGCCCAAATTAATCATGGAAAGATAGCAGCACTGATTCTGTCGGCATCTCTTTAAAATAAAAAAATGGAGATCGCGACAATTTATTAACGACAACAAAGCCAATCCAAGAAGGACTTCGTACTCTCATACGTTCTCGTTGTAAAATTATTTCTTTCAATTTACCAAATAAAAAATTCAGCGCTAGCAATCCATATCCGGCCAACCCAAAAGCGGATCAATTATTGCTTATCGATCAGTGCAGGTGGGCGAGATTCCTCGTGTGCGTCCAAAACTGATATTATTCCAGTTTTGCATTTGTTTCATGATACTCGCTACAGCGCTGCTCAGCTTGAGACATCCCCAGAGGTTTCGAACCAGATCTCTGGATTGTTGCAGGGACTGGCCGGCTGCGAGTTATTAAAATTTGTTTCTCTGCTTGAAATAGAGTTGCTTACATCTCTTTGGTTCTTATAAGTGAAGTCGTATTAAGACTTCATTAAGCCTATAAAGAACAGAAGATTTCCGTTGGAAAGTTCAGAACACAATTCGATCCCGTCTTTGCTACGACCGCAAACGGTCTAAAGTAGAGCGGTCAAAACTTTGTCTTATAAACCAAAACCCCTTTCATGTGTAGGCATAATAATATATTCGATGATGCCATTTATCCCGCATGTGCTTCGCCTGCCACTGGTATTGTCGGTTTGCCTTTTTATATTTATCTTAGCAGAGAAAGCGTTAAGCACGATGCTCTCATTGAGATAACATCATTGAATTTGTATCCGAGTGTAGTAGGCTTGAGATCATCAAGTCAAATTTGATGCACTCCTAAGACAGAAGCCACTTCGCGGCAGCACTAAAGGCACCTGGGGTTCATCAACACATTTATATTAAATAGGATGAAGCGTGTACATTGAGCGTCGCTGGTGTATTAGACAGTCCCTCTTTTGTGACTGAATTATCCCGATCGAATTACTCAAAGCTGCGAGAAAGGCATCGCTGTCTCGAATCAGCATTTGATAATTCTTACAACCTAGGTCAAAGGTGCATAACAAAGTTTAATTGTTCTACAGCCGAGTCTTCTTTGAATTGGCGTTTGCATCGGATATACGGCTGCATATGGCTTAGCATGAACATGCACGATTAACGACTTTCCGCTCAGCTTTAATTTGAAATGTTAGCGCTGATCAGTGAGGTCGCTTTCTCTTGTCAAACCCACTTTGTTCGTGCTTGGCGTGGAAGGAATGGTCAAGGGTGTCAATATATTTCCTTGGTAAGATCCATTTTACTTGTTATGCAGCATTCCTTTCAAGAATATGGTTTAAATTTTGCTTCACTTGATCCCATGGCAACATGCAAAGTGTGTTTTTGTCACCGCGTCAAAATCTTTTTTTGCGGCGGTTGCCAATGAAGAGAATCCCTAATTTTTTTGCGAACAGCTGTCCCTCTTTCGAACTTAGCACACTGCGAGAGTCTAAAATAGCTTACTTTTTCGTGAAGGATGATGAACTCAGCTACATATCGAGTCGTTTCGGTGACTTCGCCGTCTTGCAACTCTTATGCAGACATTCTCCGAGAATATACTTAGTAGTTGCTTCTGCCAAAGGTAATGACGTGAGACTTGCAAAAAGTAGGACTCATCTGGTCGGTAGATTCACGAGTAAATTTCTATTGATCACCAATAACCTTTGCAGCCTTAATATCCGCACAGTGGGCGCATCAGACGGCAGGGGTAAGGCTACATCATAACATGAGCTATCCTTGATACATCCAGAACTTGACTCTTCGACTTGCGACTTGAAGTTGCCCGTTTCCACAGGAGTTCACGTAGAGGACTGCGATATATTAACGCACTTACTTGTAGTAGCAAACAACGCTATACACATTTGCTATTTCTCATTACTTGTCTTTTATTGCTCTAGTACTAGTACACTTTGAGAACAGGAGATTTCACCGCTATTTCTGTCTCTAAATATATAAATTTTAAGAGCGCTCATACATTTGCTATTGTTTGCCTCATTTAAGAACCGGGTCTCAATAACAAAAATATTTTGGGCTTTGCCCAAAGTACACAGTGTTGCTCGACAATCTAGCCAGTTCTGTATTCTACACCAAAGCTATCGTTGCATTATGGCCACGCCAAAGCGCTTCTGTTTCCCGGCTTAACAAAGTTAAGGATTTACTAAAGCGAACTGCATGGCATCTAGATGGATATCGTATCCATATTTGACATCTTTAATGCCTTTGATTACAATCTTTTGTTTGAACACTCTGCGTCGTCACAATTGCACTGCCCTATCAGATATCCCACACCACACAAAGCGCAGCTGGCAGAAAACAACCCTGGGCTACTTTCTTAGAGCGGTACATTTTTTATGGCTTAAAATCATTGACCGCGATCTTCATGAGGTACAACAAAGTCTGATTTATCTCTGTAGGCAGCCCGGTGTCTAATGGGACTTGACAATTCCCTGGAAGTGCTCGCCAACCAAGTCTGCGCGGCAGCTCTAATCTACAACCTCTCAGGCGAGAATATTAGGGCTCGTAGGGAAGAAACATATGTTCCCCTCATCTTGCAGGGAAGACGATAGTGCACGGTAGCTAAGATATCGACTTGTCGACGATATGCACGGCAGTTAAGATATCTCTTCTTTGTTCTCAGCATGAGGGGGTTATCGCCCTCTGGCAGATTCAGGGAAACTTCACTTCCAGCACTCAACCGGCTTTTATGAAACGAAAGCTGTAGTTCGCGCTCAAAGCGACACCTAGCGCATCCTTGAACAAGTCTGGTGGTCTAATGGCGAGCCATACCTCTTCGAAAACCACTGTAAATTTTAACGTTTCGGAAGCGTGTATGTCGAGACCGTGGCAATAAAGCTCACATCAATCGGGCTTAGTCCGCAATGCTTTGTCGCACTTTAAAATGGATAAACGTTTTGAGCGAACACAGTATGCATGGTTTGGGGTGCGAACATCTGCGAGTAACATCGTTGTAATACTATATTTTGTGCTTTTACAGCGGTACTGTTCGTAATTTCCCGTCCAGGGGTGCGGTCTCTTTGCTCATCACTTTTTAGTACAACACGCTATTGCGCCGTCTGAAGAACATCGATCTCACCCCTCTCAATCAGAAATAGAAATCTCTTATGTTCCTGCCCTCATTGAGTTGAATGCTTAGTAGTAACGGCCTCACGGCAGAACCTCTTTGTGCTTTCATCGACTTCTGGCTGGGACGTTTCTAGAGATGTCTTACCAACGCGTTCTCATAGATGGTTGTTGTTTCCAGATGGGCAGCAGCTCTCGAGTCACCAACCGCGTTATCGCGTTAAGGTCAGTGCTTGTCATGAGCAAACCAGGCGTGTCTAATTGTTGTTTGATTATCAATTCTGGGGCAAGAAATTGGTTTAACGGCAGATAACTAAACAACTCATGGGAAAGTACCCAAATTTCAGGTCGGCTCCATTCAAGCCACCGATTTTTCACCGGCTCGGATTATCAAGGCAAAGCGA